ATATATATAGAGCTGCTCTAAAAATAATAGTCAATAAAATATATATTTTTATATTATACATATTTTTTATATTATTTTTTCTAGCGAATGCAATTAGTTTCAGTCATTTTTTATATTTTTTTCTTAAAATAGGAATGACTCAACTGGACTCGACCCAATACCCATATACATATATTGAAATAATACTAAAAGTGAATCCTTCCAACAAAAAACTTAGTTTGGAACGCATGAGATTCTGACCAAAAAATAAATTTGAATGAAAATCTTGAAAAATAAAATAAAATATAGAAGTATCGTGTTTTGAAATATTCACTTTTAGTATTATTTTAATTTATATATATTGGTATTAGGTAGGGTGAGTCGGGTCGACTTGGATCATTCCTATTTTAATTGAATTTTTATTTATTAGTCAAAAAATAAAAAATAAAAAATAAAAATCGTGGAATAAGAAAATAATATTAAAAAGTTGTATTTTCCTGTTACTATGATTTTTATGTGAGTTAGTAAAAGTTTATGATTTTTGTGTGAGAAAACAAAGTTATATGACTTTGGTAAAAAAATATCATAATTATGATGATCGTGAATGATAAGTACTCTTTTATCCTGAATGAGAGATCTTGAATTTAATCTTGAGTATGGAATAGCCTTTTGTTAGAGAACGTTTTACTCCAATGTGAAACTTCTCGGCCGAATCTATGATTTAGTTGGCCCAATACCGTACCCAATACCGGTGAAAAAACCCAACATTCTGTAGGTTCTTTAGTAAGTTGAGTCTGAAAAACAATCTATATATCAAGCTCCCAATTTCTGGTACTCCATTAATGTAATATTCAATCTTCGCCCGCACACATATTTAGATGATGATACTATAAATAGGGGCAAAATGTTCATTAGGGACAAGGTGGGTTGCTCTGATAGTAAGCGCCCTCCACTTCCAATCAAGAGGTTGTGAGTTCGAGTCACCCCAAGAGCAAGGTGGGAGTTCTTGGAGGGAAGGATGCCGGGGGTCTATTGGAAACAGCCTCTCTACTCCAGGGTAGGGGTAAGGTCTGCGTACACACTACCCTCCTCAGACCCCACTAGTGGAATTATACTGGGTTGTTGTTGTTGTTGTTTGTTTCCTCATCCTTATCACAACTAATTAAGTAATACTTATAAGGTTTTCAAGCAAGGAAAAATGGGATCAAAGGTATTTATGCTTATTGTTTTGGCTATTTTACTTGTGATAATATCTGAGGTTGCAGCTAGGGAGTTGGCTGAGAGCCCCACCAATTCTATGGACAAAGGTGAGATTCCTTCCTTTTAAGACAATCGACCTATTCTCTTCCTACATGCAAAATATTGTTCCCTTCGTCTCATTTTATTCGATAGATTTTGACTAGACAAAAAGTTTAGAAACTAAAGAAATACTTTTGAAATTTATGTTCTAAAACAAGTCATATTCTCGTACATGCGGTTGTAAATCATCTTACTAGGGGTCGTTTGATTTGAAGACAAGTTACGTCGGGATTAGTTATATTGAAATTAGTTATATTACTTATATTACGATTAGTTATGCTAGGATTATTATACTTGGACTAATTTTTATTGATTGTTTGGTATTTTGTATTAATCCTGGGATTGCCAATTTTATTGTTTTATCCTAGGATTACTATTCCACTCTCTTGCATGTATAAGTTATTCTGGTACTATTTTAATCTTGGAATAACTTATCCCAGGATTAGTAATCAAACAAGGGATAACGCGATACAAAATTTTCATCGCAAGATTAGTTTTGCTAATCAATCATACCAAGCGACCCCTTAAGGATAAATAAAAAGTTTAAAGTTAAATTATTTCTAAATTAGAAATATATCATACCTTCTAGTACAAACTAAATTAAAAAGAATATGTATCACATAAATGGGGGACGAAGCAGTACATTTCAAGAGTTTCTGTTTATTTTAACCGACCCCTCAGGTTATGAGGTAACACTTGCTCTAATAAAGTAACTCGTTATGTGTTCTCTTTAGTATCATCATCATAATTAGTAGTATATAGGTTTCAATTCTTCTCCTTTTTTTCTGTGCGTGTATGTTTTCTTTCTCAATAAAATTGCTGTTTATACTCGAGGCTTTTACTATTAAACTTTTAAACACATATTTTCTTATGGTTAGACGTTATGAATTCGGTCTATTTTATAGTATTAGATTTAAGTTATACGCGTTGATAATAAGGTAAAAGAGAATTACACTATCAGTACAATTTAAACTATTGTTGATGCTTCACGAATTAATTATGCGTTACCTTGATATTAGTTGGCCCTTCTATTTTTTTTATAGTCCTAATTATTATTTTGCATTTGCTTCTATTCTTAACAAGTCGAGTACTCTAAAAGGAATAAAAAGATCACAGTCATGATCATCAGCCTCACATGCACATGTATATGATGGATCTAAGTTATTACAATGACAACATAATTCTTTTAACATTATCAATATATATAGTTGAATAGTCTACAATAGGTAACTACTCTACTTTTCAATTTATCATGCATATCAGCCTTGCTATAAAAAGTACTTACCGATTATTGTATGTCAACTTAATTAACTCGACGAGGTAAACCATGCAGTGCAATTTTTTTTAAACTCATGTATGATCATTGTTGCAGCAAAGGTATTCGATGAGAAAAATGATCATGTAAATGATGCAAAAGACTTAGAATTTGGAGGATTCGGAGGCAGAATTGGAGGAGGAGACGATGGTGGAAACCCTGGCGGCGGTAATGGTGGTTTTGGAGGTTTTCCAGGAGGAGGGTATGGTGGAATCCCTGGCGGCGGTAATGGTGGTTTTGGAGGTTATCCGGGAGGAGGATATGGTGGAAACCCTGGCGGCGGCAATGGCGGTTTTGGAGGTTATCCGGGTGGAGGATATGGTGGAAACCCTGGCGCGGCAATGGTGGTTTTGGAGGTTATCCGGGTGGAGGATATGGTGGAAACCCTGGCGGCGGCAATAGTGGTTACGGAGGTTATCGAGGAGGAGGATATGGTGGATTTCCTCACAACTAATTACTAAGGAAAATATATTTATATGAAAAATATATATATACTAGTTTCTCGCCACGTACGTTGCGTGGTGTATGCTAAGTTATATAGTAATATCTTGGTCTTTACTATCGTCTGAACCTAGATGGTTAAGTGCTCAAAATGTGAAAATGCGTTTAATGTCCAACACATCCAGAATTTTTAATAAATAAATTCGTTTCACCTATTTTACCTCTCTTCATCCCTTAGTATAAGAGCTCACCCCTTACTGTAACTCATAAGTTTAATGCTAATCAAGCAAAAATTGGTTTAACTGGTCAGTACCTTACTGAAAAAAATAAGTCATTTTAACTTATGTTGGCAACAGTAAAAATACAAAATTGAAGTGGGACAACAACAACAATATTAGACAAAAATATGCAATTGAATGAGTATTAATTCATTTTTGAACTCGATGAGAACGACCTCGGCGTCTTAGCATGTTTTCATAATATATACTCCCCAAACAAGACAAATATTCCAAGTCAATGATGTATTGATCAAATAATAAATATTTTTCTCTAAACAATACTATGAATGTATTCAAATATATTTACAAAGGTGTTAAATTACTGTGTTTATTCTCTAATGTTCTGATTAAATGCTCAAAATAACTATATAGGGGGGTCTAAATACTATGCTAAAGTTTATTATATTAGTCAGAGTGCGTAAATGACATCTGATGGTAAACTGAACAATACTAATAACTACAGCATAGAGCAGTATTGAGACTATAAAAATTAAGCTATAGACAATAGCGTAAACGAATTGAGCAAATAAAGACATACCCATTATTTTGAGCCACGAAGCATTGCAAAAACAATAACTGAAAGAATGAACAAACCTTAAATGAGCGATAAATTGTCCTTAAATTTGATGTGAAGAATCTCTTTGGCGGAAATCTGATGACGAACTGATCCCAAAATTCAATGGCAATCTTTCCACTAACATAATAGAGACATGGATAGAGAAACTCAAAAATAGTAGCGCTTGGACTGTTTTTAAACGTAAGTAATATATTGGATAAAATATGTTATGCTACGTGGCCACCTAAGAAGGGGACACGTAGAATCAAAATCGGGAGGATGAAAAATCGGACACAACTACCTCGTGTGTCACCGAAGAAGGCAAGTTCGTAAGGGCATTAAGCATGCTGCGCCCGATGACATTTAATGAAGAATATTTCACAGCATTAAAGAGCAACGACTCATTAAACATATTTCGAAGGTTTCAGATATTTTTGCATATTTGGAGCTATGGATCTCGGATTGAGACAATTTTTGAAGCGATTTTCACCATATGAATTAGGGTAAGTATTCTCTACTCATTTTTTTTTTATTATATTTCATGAATCTATCTTCGTTTTTGGCATTTGATTGAGGATTTCAAGAGAGAAATTGGGGGATTTGTCTAAAATTTCATAGAGTGAATTTTGGAGTTTTGAACATTGATACAGAGTCGGATTTGAGTGAAACTAGTATGATTGGACTCGTAATTGAATGGGTTATCAGATTTTGTGAGTTTTGTCGGGTTCTGAGGTGCGTGCCTGGGCTTGACTTTTAATTGACTTTGGGCTTTTAATTAAAGATTCGGCCTTTATCATTTGAAATTATTTTCTTGGGCATTATTTGATGTATTTGAGTTGCTTTTGGCAAGTTATGAGCCGTTCGGAGGTTGGTACGCGCAGGATGTCATTTTTGGAGCATCGTTTGGCTTGCTTGGTATTGGATTTAGCTTGTTCGAGGTAAGTAACACTTCTAAACTTGGTGCTCAGGGTATGAACCCCTGGATATACGTGATATATGTTTGGTGTTGAGGTGGCGCACATGCTAGGTGACGGGCATGTGGGCGCGCACCATGTAAATTGTAAATCGGTTATTCCTGTGGTACTGTGTAGTTACCTAATCATATTTGTATCCATGAATTCTCTACGTGCTAGAGTAAATGAGATGTGATCTATATTAGAAACCATGTCTAGGCTATATACTTATCTTGTTGAGACCCACTGAGGTCATTTCTACTGTTGAGTTATTTGCTTATATTACAGTTACATACTCAGTCATACGTATTCATTTACATGTCACATCTCAATCTCTGTTATCATTTGTTATCACATCATATTGTCATCATTGATTAGGGCTGCTTAGTATGAGCGTTGTGAGCCCGTGAGACTAGAGAGATTGGTGACTGAGTTGGGGCCTGAGTGTCGTGCTGTGAGTTATATATATATATATANNNAAGCTGCAATGAGCTTTATGGCTATATATATATGGATCGGGTTGCACGCCGCAATGAGCCTTATGTCAATATGTATATGGATTGGGTTGCATGCCGAAACGAGCCTTATGGCTATATATATGTGGTTCGGGTTACACGCCGGAACGAGCCTTATGGCTATATATATGTGGATTGGGATGCACGCCGGAACGAACCTTATGGCTATATATATGTGAATTGGGTTGCACGCCACGATGGGCCTTATGACTATATGTGAATCGGACTGCACATCGCAGCAGGTATTGTACAGCGCTGAGCGACTGAATGTGTTGAGTATTGATCATGGTGAGCGAAAATGCGAGATAGTGAGATTGAGTACTCTGAGAGTGTGAGTACATGAGTTCATCAATGAGATACATTGCATTTGACATGCGTACTTGAGATACATGCATATAGATGCATTTCCTTCTGCTACCCAGTTTTGGTAACATTCATGATTTTACCTGTATCTTGACATGTAGGCATAGAGAAGTACTTTCCTCATGCTATATGAAAATAAAATATCTTATTTATTGTTGAAAGGTTTTTGGACAAATCACAATTTTTAAACTTACTCATATGCTTTTGGGGTTTTCGGTGAAGAATCTGGGGTTTACTGTTATACTTGAAAAGCATGTCTGTTCTTCTGAAACTGTGAACGAGTTGAGAATCTTACCTCTGAGTTATTTTCATGTACCCTTTTATTATATTATTATGAACTATTGCAGGTTATTGGAGTTGGACTCTGACCCTTGTCCCAGCTCGTCGCTACTTTAAACCTAAGGTTAGGTTTGTTACTTATTGAGTACATGGGGTCGGTTGTACTCATACTACACTTCTGCACCTTGCTTGCAGATGTTGGATGATGATATTGCTGTGTACGGCGGGAGTTGGATCGGAAGATGTACTTGCGTTCCAGTTATGGCTATCACTAGTCCTTGGTAGCATTAGATTCGAATTCCATTCATTTACATTTCAAACATGTTGTAACTATTTCAATTCAGTTTTGTAAAGAAATCTAAATCTTAGATGCTCATGATTTGTACTACCAGTCATTGGGGAATTCTTTGTATAAAAGCAGTTGTATTATCTTTTCTTTTCTTAATGAATCTCATTTGAATTGGTTTCTATTAACTGGCTTACCTAGCGGGTTGGGTTAGGTTCCATCACGACTAGTTAGATAATGGGTCGTGGCACTAAGAAAATTCTATCCCAAAATATTGAATGAGGTAATACCAGGATGACCTGGTTCAGGATTGTAACAAATCATAACTATCATAAATATGTCAAAGACTTTGTACTGAAAAGATGAGGTGATGCTGTCCTCAATAAGGTCAGAGTTGTCATGGAACTCACAAAGCGTTGGTTCTAGTAAGGTTAGTAGTAACACAATGAATGACTATATTCTTAAGCTTTGTCTAGATTTAATTTAGTTACCAAGAAGGTCAATCATGGATATGCCACTGTTAATGTGAAGAGATTAGGTGGAAAAGAGATATATCGGGATTTGCGTCCCTAAGTTGAGATCAAATTTTGGTTTAACACAACGAGGCTAATATGTTTGTACGGGGGTCAGATAAGAATTGTACATACTATTAAGGAGAAACTTATGGTAGTTGGAGTGAGTACTTTATGGCTCCTATCAAAGAATATTTTCTAGATGATGAAGATGATAAGAAGAAACTGGTAGTTTATTGTATGTATTATGACCTTTAGTAACACAATGAATAGATCTTTTGAAGTGTATGCGTGTTCTATTACAGATTAAGAAGTACAAAGAGATATGACCGCAAAATATCAAAGTTCATATAAATTACCACCATGAGGCGACCCACGGTAGAATGACAACACCAAGCTCTTTAAAGATACGATGTCTGGTCATGAGTACCAAAGAACAAGAGGAGATAGAAGGAAGGTAAATATACACTATAAGGCATTCTCTTTAGGGAAAATAAAGTCACAAAACTCAGAAAGTCATCCTTGCATTATGGAGAGAATGAATGCTACAGACAATAGGATAAAGTGAAGAATATACTTTTAATAAGATACATGAGTGATGTGTTGGCGTAAGGCCCTAGAGTTCTTAAAGTGATACCGACACATTTTGAAGCCAACTTAGTTATGAAATATTCAGAGATACTAGATAAGGGGACTCGAATCTCAACTATATAATATTTTGATCGTCACCATCAGTGCTTAATATGACTTAAGGTTATGCTTGAGAATAATCACATGTCAACGAGCTAAGCTCAAAATTTATAGCATGCATGCATATACATAATAAGAATATTTATATATCTTAATAAGATAGATGTTTAGCCTGGCTAAGGTGCTATAGTATCACAAAAAAATTCAGAAAAGTCAAGCCC